CTGTGTCATCAAGGGGAAGATAAAAAAAAAATTACAGCAAATTTGGGAGGTTCAGCTTCACAACAAGTTGAGAAATGTAAAGCCTAGAATTGAGCATTGGGATTTTCTTGGAAATCGTAAGGAGGAAGTTCTTTTGACTCACCTCAGAATTGGTCACACTAGAGTGACACATAGCTATCTTCTGAAAGCTGAAAATGAGCCTATTTGTTTAAATTGTAATGTTTGTGTATCTGTTCGTCATATTTTAATAGAGTGTCCATATTTTAATAGTCTTCGTCAGATTTCAGCTGTGATATTTCGTCAGATTTTATAGCTGTGACTTACCTCTCAACCGTTTAATCAAAAGAGAGGTCAATTGTAATTTATTTTATTATTTAAAAGAGACTCGCTTTTATCACCTAATGTAATTTGTTTTGAAAATTGTGTCTTGGATTTTAATGTGTGCTTTTACCTTGTTTTTACATGACTTCATCCTCTGGATTTGGTACATTTGTCCACTTGTTTTTATTTATTGCATTTTAATTGTTGCACTTACTTGTTTTTATTTATTGCATTACTTTTTATTTATTGCATTTACTTGTTTTTATTTATTGCATTTTAATTTCATCAATTGTAATCATCCCATCCTGTGTTTGGCGCGTTTTAATCACCTTTGGTTTTGCGCCAATAACCTCTCACTCACTCACTCACCTGATTCAATTCTGTTCAGCATTTTCTAAACATATTTTCACTAACGACAGAGAAAGCTTTAATAATACCCTGGTCTAAAGGCTGAAATGTTACAAGCTGTATTTGCAGGAAGAGACACTTGTGTTTTTCAGAAAGAAATCAGAGGGAATGTGTGCTGCAAAATTATCTAATTAGTAAGGCAGGCTATTTTATCATTTTTCAGTTTGCTGTCCCATTTCTAAAGAAAATCAGTTAAAATACTGTTTGTCATCCCTGAGTCTTGTTATTATGGTAAGTCAGAAGTAAATTCTTGATTCCTTTCAAACTTTGAGGTTTCCTGCTTATCTTAAAAATGAGTACTGCCTTAATTGTTGTGTCTATAATGCACATTAATAACACATTGACTTGTTTTTGGTCTGGTCTGGTAGAAATGTAGTGGGACACACAATGTTTACTATAATGTAGGTACAGTCCTACTATACTTCGATCTAGAGAAAGCCCAAAAGATCACGGGGTTCACAGAGCTGTTGTGGCTCAAAACATTTATTTCACCTCACATCAACAGTCCTGAGACTCCTGTGAACCTCGGGACTCCCAACCAAGACTCTAGACATTTATAAAAAATAACCAAGACTCTGGACGAAAATATATACAAATGTGCATAACATTCAACAGATGGTGCCATCACACTTGCATGCTTTGGATATATATCCAGTTTTTACTTGTACAATTTGGTCTTGGTGGCAGCAATACATATATATATTAGGTATAATACAATTGATACAATCAAATACAATACAGTCCCTACTAGTTATCCCGTTATAGTTGGTATAGTCCTGAGATTTCAAATCAATCAGTGTAGTACTTAAATAAACAGTACAATTCAGTGCCTTACCAATTCAATATCTAATGTATAATTCAGTTTAGTATAGTAATTCAATATATATATATATAGAAAAATAACAGCACTGTCCATATATTTAACAGATCAATGACAAATAGTTCATTGATCCCAATAATTCTCAATAGTTTATATTTGTGATAGTTCATAAAAATTCAAAGTAATGCATTGGCATACAGTTCACAAATAGTTCACTGCCATATAGTTCATACATAATTTATATTCACAATATAAATTATAGTTCACAATAGTACATCCATAGGATATTGGTAAATAATTTTCAAAAAAGTTTATTTGCAAAATTATTGGTGCCATAATCAAGAAGAACAATTAAAATAGTTCACTGACTTTTAGTTCTTATAAATTAGTATTTATAATAGTTCCTAATAGTTAATAATAAATAACTCCATAACTAGGTTAACAGTTCCCAATTGTACTAATTGGTATAGTTTACGTCTATTCGGCAGAATTATCAAATCCATTAGGCTCTAGGAATGGCTCCAGATTAATAGTCAGCACTTGCAATAGTTCATTGTCATTATATTATTAGTATCATAATCAGCAAATTAATAGACAATGACATGATCATGTATAATTTTCAAAGTTAGTATATAGTTTATAACAGTACACTGACACTTTGATTGGTATCATAAACATTAGATATAATTATAATAGTACTGATAGATATAATAATAGAACACCAACAGCCATGATTATAATAGTTCGTAATAGTATCTTGATGTGTAGTTTATTATATGATTCCATTCTTTTATTTAAGATGTTGTCATTTCACATCATAAGTTTATGTCGAGTTCTTTAAGTTAGTTAAGTTCACATTTTGTTTAATGTAAATGTTTTCACTTGATAGCATAAAGTACAATACCTAATAAGTTATCACAATAGGTTTATATGGTAACTTATAGTTTAGCTATAGTTCATCCAATGGATTTCATCAGTTTATTTTGCAGCATAAATATCATTATTGTAGTAATCTTCCTAATATTTTTCTGTCATCTTTCTTGTGAAGCACTTGTCCTTAGTGGATATACATACATTTAGATAGTATTGTCGACAATATAATTATATTGTTTTGGTGGACCAAGGTGAAGAAGTGATTTTAACTTGTTGGTTGTAAGGATGAATTTAATCTAAGATGTCATATTTGGTTCTTGTAATTATTTTAGTCACTTCCTTTTGATATATTGGACAGTTTGATGCGTAAGCAGGGTGATGCATATTAAGGTCCATATTATTAGCGTCATTATTTCAGTTTATGCATGATGGACTTTCTGCTTGGCATTCTCTTATATTGTGATTGCCACCACAGAATGCACAATAAATTCTGTGCTTGCAGTTTCTAACTAAATGGGTTAAAGTCTTGACATATGAAGCATCGACATGAACCAAAAAAATTCTGCGATTTTGTAACTTCTCCAGGCGTGGTTGATAATATTTTGCTTCATTAGTATTTTGAAGGCTAGAGGAGAGCATTCAATTACCCATTTTATTCTTTTTTTTTTTTTTTTTTTTTTTTTTTTTTTTTTTGTCATTTATTTTAAAAGAGGGTTTGAATTTGTTCTCTTCCAAATTAGTTGCTTGTTGAATTACTTCAGTGACATCTTCTGGACCAATATTATTAGGTAAATTGTTTATTGTACATTTAGGATTTCTTTTGAAAGGATTAGGATATTTTGGATTTTCTTTCTTTTGATTTAGAATTTCTTTTCTTTTTCATTTAGGATTTAGGATTGATTTGTTTCTTCAGTTTCTTGAACCAGCTGGTATTTCACATGTAAGTAATAACATGTGTTCTGGTAATGTTCTGTTACACAGCAAGTTTTGTCTGCAGAATAAGTTTCGTGTGACTTGTATTCATTTAGCAGCCCAGGTAAAACATCTTTTATGCATTTAACAGCTAGCTAGATGATGATCTGCTTCTTCCTTCTCAACATGTCATTTCGAGTGAACTGTGTTATTCCTCTCTTTTAACTTGTGAGCCATATGTCAGCTGATACAAATTTCTCATCTGGCATTTTAGTGAATTCCATACCTTTTATGGTGAAAAGATCTCTAAAAAAATTTGTTTTAATTTCATAACTTGACACCATTCTAGAAGAGCAGTTTTAACACCTCTCCATTTCCCGCTTTGTTTGCACTTCCTTGAGACATTTGCATTTTTCATTAGTTCTTCATCAATTACAATTCTTTAAGTAAATTGCACAATGCTTTTTGGAAATTCATAATTTAAATGCAGTTTTTAATTTGGCTTTTATTTTAACCAAGATCTTTTAACAAGTTATCTTTTTTTAATTAATTTTTTTAGACTTAAATGTTTTTGTTTGGGCATTTTCAACTTAATTAAGCACTAACAAATTAAAACAAATTAATTGCAAATTAAGCACTAACAAATTAAAACAGTGTATCTCCAATGATTTATTAAATTTCAAAGCTCATGTTTCTAGCCAGCAGAAATGTTGCACTTTGTCTGTAAGTTGATCTGCCGTTCATGATTTCAGGCATGACCAAAACTTTCTTTGCATTTTCATTAGCGTATAATTATCACTCTTTCAATATAAAGACTGTTAATGTAAAAATTGTTCATGAAATGCTGTGTAGCATTTCATTAACTTTTTTTAGAACTCATTTGAATATATGTGTATCCCAAAGGTAAGATTTTGAGTGGGGAAACTTTAAAAGATGGGATGCCGAATTTCCACTTCCATCTATCAGTTGGTTTTCTAGACGGAATGCTCATTTATTACAATGCTTGGAAAGAACTCTTTATGTTAGCCTTAAGATATGGAAATTCTATCCCTCTGAGCATGGGCAAAAAGTTCTAAAATCTATGTTTCACAAGTACTGGAACTGTGTGCAGAAAAATTTTGGTTAAATCCATTTTACGGAAGCACTACTTGCCTGAATAATAAATAAGCTACTCCATAATAAGTTAAATAGATGATGTACAAACAACTTTGTTAGATACAAGTAAAAAGGATATTTGTACTCCACCAGAACAGTCTTTTGCTAATCTGAGTTTTATAAGCAGCAGATGTATATTTAATAAATAGCTGTTTTTCTATTTACCTGTAGATACTTGTTTTGGTTCTTGAAATTTGAACGAAATAAGTAGCTGATTTTATTCACCAGTGAGTTTTAAAAAGCAGTAGGCTCTGTGTGAACTCTCAGAGAAAGCAGGCCATGGTGTGTTTCGTTATTTAAATGCTAATTTGCATAAGGTATCTTGGAGCTCTAAGAGTTAATTTTGTCACTGAATTTTTATTAACATGAATATAGCTTTTTGACAATTTTGAAATATATGGAAACTCAGAATTCTCATTCCTATATCATAGAAATAATTTCCTTCTAAAAACATTATTTATTCTAAAATTAATTTTAAATCACTAATTACTTTTCTTGCATTTTTATATAGCTTATGGGCAGCTGGCCTCTGGTCAAATTGATGTTGCTGTGGCTGGAGGAGTTGAGTTTCTTTCCGATGTCCCTATTCGGTTCAATCGTTCAATGCGCAAACTTATGTTATCTGCAAACAAAGCAAAAACTCCAGGGCAAAAATTAGGACTTCTTTTAAAGTTAAGGCCTGGACATTTAGTCCCAGAGGTATATTGTACAATATGCTAATTTTGAAGTTTTCTGCATTTATATTTTGTTGTAATTCATATAAAAGTGTTAAATAACTGAGTATTTTATAAAATCATTTTTAGGCTCCTGGTGTAGCTGAATTCTCCACTGGTGAAACAATGGGGCATTCTGGAGACCGATTAGCTGCAGCTTTCAATGTTTCTCGTGAAGAGCAAGATCAATATGCTCTGAGATCTCATACATTAGCTAACAAAGCTGCGCAGCAAGGATTTTTAACTGATATTGAACCGATAACAGTGCCTGGTAATGTGTATATGATTTTACATTTTAAAATTTTTAAGTTGTTTTGCCTGTCCAATTGAAATAAATACTATATAAAAATTTTATGAAAAGTTTTACGTTATGTATATATGATATAAAATTGCTTGAGAATTATTTGGACTATAATTATATCAATTGAGGAAATACAGGAAAAAATATATTTAACTTGGGAATAATTAGCTAATGATTCTATCGCAGTATTTTATGGCTGTATAAGAAATTAAAGAAAGGAAAATTTGTGGCATGGAAGAAAGAATGGAAAATGTTGTAGTTGTGAGGGTATTTGGGAAGTTAACAAATGCGTAACTATTGCAGACAGATATCAAGTGCATATTTACTTTAATGATTATGTACTTTAATGAAATTCTGGTGTATAGTTTGGCCGTGGCAAATGCAGCTGTGGTTGATATTCTGCCCAGTGGACTTTTGTGCCTTTGTTTCATATTCGCAGAAATAAACGTGAAGTTTAGCAATGATTTGCAACCCTAAAAGCCAAACACATTGACTTTTTTTTAAATAATATCAGTTTTACATGAGTAGTGTATATTCATATAATGATGTAAATTCATTGCTTACTTTTAAAAATGAGATTACTAAAAGTAATAGAACTGTATTTTTAACAAAAGTAGTCTCTTTGTGTTTTTTTTTTTTTTTTTTTTTTTTTTTTTTTTTTTTTACAGCGGGGGGTCAGGTTTACTGCTCATTTGTGTGGGATCTCCTTTGATCGTAGATGACTAAATTTCCCTCTTTCTGAAAGGGGGTGGGGTCTCCATATCTAAATATGTATAATAATGCATATAGATTTTAACACATAAATCCAAAAGAAGTGTAATGATTATTTATTATATAATTAATTATTAAGAAGTGTCTTTTTTTTTTTTTTTTTTTTTTTTCTTTTCTTTGTAATGTGTATTAATGTACATACATTTTAGCTTAAAAATGGTGCTGTGCTGAAAAAAATCACTACTACTACTGCTGCTTTAGCTTAAAGCTAAAAAAGGCTTTAAGCTAAAGTATATATGTATAAATTACAGTAATTATTACATTAGAAGTTATTGCAATGATAATTAAATAATGAAAATAATACAATAAATTATAATAATTAAAATAACAGTTTTTGTATAATAATAGTTATTTATACACAATGCAATCAGACATTTAATTACAAATTATGATCAGCATATTATCTTACATTACTGAAAAGTAATCATCTGATCTCTTTGACTCGGTGCTTTGAATGCAGCTGAAATAAACAGGGGGAAGAAAAGAATAAAAAAAAATCCCTACTTCACGATTTATTTTCATCCACCCTATTTGCCAATAGGTCGGTCCCAATGGCATATGCATGTTTGTGCTTGTGTATTTTCTATTAAGATACTTAAAAATGAATATTTTTAAAAATTCAAAATTTAAATATTGTGATGCTATTCATTTGAGACGGAAAATGATGCAGATACTTTAGTTATAAAAGGTACTTTAAAATTTCAACTTTAGTTATTTTAAACAAATTCATATTGTTAATGGAAACATTTTCAGTACTTTTAGCATTGTAAATTGATTTGTTTTTTTGTCAGATTTTCTGAAGTGAGAACTTGTATGTTTTGAAATTTTTGCATACCATGTGTTTGTTTATGTGTAGGAAATAATAGAAAATACAAAAACAGGTGTATACAGATGCTATATAAAATGCAACGTTCTAAAGCAAACTTAGGGAGAGAGAAATAAAAGGATTTGAATTAATGACATAGGTTATGAATTTTTTATCATCCAATTAATACTTTTGGTTCTGTAGTATTGTGCTGATCCCTAACTTTATTATGTTAGTAAGAATGAAAAAATGAATTTCCATGTTATAAATTTGAGTTTTTTTATTATGTTGGTCGTGTACTTAATATTTTAAAGGTGAAACGTTAGTAGTGTTATTTGCAAATGTTAGATTTTTTCCCCCTTTATTTTTCAGGAAAAGACACTCCAATTAAAAATGATAATGGCATCAGAGTTTCATCTCTTGAACAAATGGCCAAACTGAAGCCCGCATTCATTCGTCCTCATGGCACAGTCACTGCAGCAAATGCTTCATTTTTGGTTTGCATTTTATTCAATTCATTTTTAATCTAATATGATGAATTCTGAAATTTGAAAATCTCATGCGTAGTTAATTGTTTACACTTCAAGTTGCATCTTTAAAATAGCATATTTGAAAATTTGAGAGTCATGGTAACACCAGTGTGGAATTTGAAATATGGGTTAGAAGTACATTTTACAGAAAAAATTAATTCTATAGAAATGTGCAGATGAGTTTATTTCAATGTGAAGTCTTTATTTGATATAAAAACTATAGTTTTTATTTTGCATTAATATTTAATAACAGCTAACAGTAGTTTGCAAATAGGCCTTTAAAATTTTATCAGCTGCTTACAATAATTCACTAAGCATTGCAGTGGAGGCTTTAATAAACTGCTAAAAATCAAATGGTACCGTCTAGGATTTTGACCTGACATAGAAGTTCATCATCTTTTGTTTTTCACATTTCTGAAATAATATTAAAGTACTGTAAAAATTGCAAAGAGCATACAGGGTAATTCTTAAGTAAAATAAAAGCAGAAGTTATGGATTATATAGCTTAATTGGCTAAAATTGCTAATCTCTTATGATAATGATTAAGCCTATGATAGAAATGATGATTCTGTTTTAAATGTAATGCTTATGAAGAAATTTGTGAATTCAGTGTAATTTGAACCAAAAAATGGGAGGACGTTTGTCATAATTTTGTTCCATTGTTACCTTGGTAATCATCACTGTTATCACCGTCTTCAAAATCCGATACTTCACAATCAAAACCATCTAAGAAATCAAAGTTGCCTTCTGAATCACTTCCTGATTCTTGAAGATTTAAATCCTCTTATTAACTTGAGCCATTTATTTGACAAATATGAAACATGGAAAAACGATAAACACTAAAACTGGATCCTTTCAAAACATGTTGTAATGGAAAAAATATTCTAAATCTGCATAGTACTGTTATGTAATTACAAGTACTTAGCTGCCATCTGTGAAGCAGCTGTATAAATGAAATTGATACAAGCACTATAAAAATTGGAATTTCAAAAGCATAGCCCTTGTGAGATATGGGCGCGATAAAATTTATTCGAATTGGCTGCCCGTATGAAAGATGGGTACGACGACTAAGAGGTTCACCTCTTAGTCATTTTAAGTTGAATTTTTTAATATTATTCAATAACAAAGACTTGATTTTATGAGTTGGTAACAGTAGATGTTATTTTTATTCAAAAAGGGAAGTGAGAAATTTGAATTATGATTATATATATATATAATTTTAAAAAATTGTTTTGTAATTATTATATATATATATATATATGTTTGTAATCCTTTAAAATATTCGATGGTTAGCTGTTTGAGATATTAAGCAGTAATCTGAAGTTTTAAAATTGCAGTCCCCCTTCCCAAACTTTTATTCATATAATTATTGCAACACCAAGCAATATATGTTTCAGAAATCCAAGTTCTTACATTTATTTTCCTTTCAGTATGAGCGATCATCTTTTACTTTGTATCAATGCTGCTATATGTAATCAAAGGAACCAAATTTAGGATTATCCTGTATTTTTAGAAAATTGGTTGAGGGCAGTGTGTTCAAAATGTTTTTAATTCTGGAAATAATTCACAGTTCTGCTTACATAGTTTTGATTTACATGGAAGCACACTAAACTGAAATATAAACTGGGAAGAATGAATTTGGGAACTCTGCAAATATTGTCATTGTTTCAAGAAAATCTGCAAATGAAAAGAAATTATGTGAGGCACTGTTCTTAAGTAACAAATCGTATATAGCTCTAATATGAATTAATACAAAAATGATGATATATTTAATACATTTTATTTTGTAGACTGATGGTGCATCAGCTTGCCTTCTCATGACAGAAGAAAAGGCATTGTCTTTGGGGTTAAAACCAAAAGCATATTTAAGGTTTGCTTTTTATATGTCTCACATTTTTTCTTCCATGTTTTATGTGATTCTGCATGACTATTCACTTAACTAACTTACTTTACATGCAGATTTTTATGGTATTCATAAATCTTTCATAAAGACACCTTCTATTAATGTTGTGAACAAATTATTCATTAATAATATTGTGCTTACATGTTAAATGATACCTTAACACTATTCAGAAATTGCTCACACTGATTGTTAATCACTGAATAATTTGTCAACATTTTTATCACCTGTGTAAATAAAATACATATCCAATCTTACCATACCAATCACATGTTTCCACTTTTTTCTAAATGTTTTATAGACAACTTACTTGATTTCATGGTGTTATTTGTTGTATTTTGTTCCAGGTAATATATATTGTTTGCTAATTTTAATGATGTTTCTTGTTTAGTTAGTGATCTTTGGGATTTATCGAATGCTAAAACTAATGTTGTGTAGTTTTTCTAAAATTACATGATGCAAAATGTTTGAAAATGTGTTAATTCTTTTTAAATGAAATTTTATGTTACCAAAAAAAAGAAAGAAAAAGAAACATTATATGAAAATGCACACATTTATGTATGTTCACATACGTTGAGACAAATTGTAAAAATGTATGTTGAAGTCAACTTGAAGGAAAACATGTAATATGTATAACAGCTATGTGATTGATTTATTGCTGGTATAAGGAGCTAACAGCAGTTAAATTTTATAAAGAAGAAATAGAGTTGCTGGGCAGAACTATAAAAGATTGGAATAGTTATTTGTGATAAACATGTGAGCTTGATATAAAGTCAAAAAACACAAGAAACGCTGTGACTTATATGCAGTCTGAAAACTTATGACCAAAAAACATTAACCTCATAAAGAGTGCCAAATGACATGAGTTAGAATGTATGTACTCAGTTTGCTTTGGATATTAATAATAAAAAAATGTGAGATATTTTATATCGATTAGTAAAATATATCATTATAATAAAAATGTGAGATATTTTATATCAATTAGTTAAATATATCATTATAATTATTTTTTATGCCTTTTTTGATGTAAAAGTTTTTTTTTTTTTTTTTTAAGGCATTATGTATATACATCTCAAGATCCTAAAGACCAATTATTATTAGGGTAAGTTTAGATTAGTATTAATTATTAAAGCAATGAAGAATCAAAATAAGATAATAATTATTCCAAATGTATTGTTATTCCAGTCCTACATATTCTACTGCTAAAATCTTGGACAAAACTGGGTTAACCCTGAATGATATTGATGTATTTGAATTTCATGAAGCTTTTGCTGTAAGATTAATTTCATATTTTTTCTCTTTAAATTTTTACGTATACTTTGTCTTTATACAATAAAACTGTGAAATCTAAACATTATAAGTTTGACTATAATACTCATGATAAGAGTTACCACTCTTGAACTTCTTAATAAATATGTGTTATCTTATTGAAGTTGTTCATTTGCAGGGACAAATATTAGCCAACTTCAAAGCAATGGATTCTGACTGGTTTGCTCAAAACTATATGAATCGTAAAAAAAAGGTAAAAAAGTAATATTTTGGGAATTACTTTCCCATATCTAATATTGTATGTGATCCATTATCAATGTTAAATCGCAGTTTTTAATTCTTGGCTTTCCTCCTCCCACTTTATGATCATATCAAACCTTAATGTTTATTCCTCATTTTTTACAGATGCATGGTACAAAATAGGAACTTCATTTTAATATGTCAAACAGTTATTTTCAGCAGTGGTTTCAAAGATAAATTTAGTTTGTTCAGTGTTGAGTAATTGTTTTTTCTGGAGTTTGCAATGGTATTGGATTGATATGCTTGTGTAGCTGAAAGTCAACTGATAAAAACATTGAGTGATTATACCTAGCAAAATATCAGTAGGTTGAAATTTGATGGAATGAGCTAAATTAAGAAAATATGGCATATCAGTGTTATATTTTCAAATTTTCACAGAACTAGTTTTGATAGTTTTACCGAACCACCATCTTCAGCTGCAGAAGCGCAAATGACGCTTTTTCAATTTTTCTGCTGCCAAAATTATTCAAAAAACATCTTCCATTGGAGAACTGGATTTTCTAGAGACATTTCACTTTTAAGAAAATCTTGTTCTAGTTAACAATCCTAATTCCAATCCATCTTTGCCTTCGGCCTTTAAAGAAATTATGTTTTAGTTCTGGTTTCATCAACAGATGGCGCACTAGCTCATTTTCTGTCCAGGCTTTCTTATCTTATCTGATCATTTTATCCTATTTCACTCATTTGCGCTTTTGCAGCTGAAGATGGTGGTTCGGTAAAACCATCGAAACTAGTTTGTTGTTCGACTTTTGAATTAGTATTTGTTCGGCGTGTTATTGTGTCTTAATTAATGGCATATCAGATTAAAAAAAGGGGGCGATGTTTCAGATCTTGATTCATAATTGAAGGAGCTAACAGATCTAGAATTATAGCAAATGAGTCATGACATTTTAGTACAATGTTCTTTTTTCCCATTTTCATGTTATAAATCATATAATTTCTTTTGACAAATGATTTAAAGATGAATTGGGTTCTTTGAAAATGTGTATGTTATGGTTTGCTGATCAATTGCAGTATCTTGTGAATGCATGCAAAATTAATTTAGTATTTTAAGCATCCATATTCACTTAGGAAGATGCTCTCAGTTGATAAGACTTCAAATTTTCTTACTGTATATGTAAACCAACAGCAGTCAATTAATACCTGTATTCAGAGTAGTAGCAACCAACATTGAAGTTTAAAATATTCACAAACCAAAAAAAAAGTGCTGATTATGGTCGTTTATTATCACAAAATTGCTTATCCATAAAAGCCATCCTTATATTGTTCAGTATGCTGCTGTTTTGCTGAATTGGTTGCTTCATAAATGTTTTAAACAACTTAAGACTTTCATGGTAATGCAAGATCCAATGTTTATCATACTTTTAAAGAACATTTGACCAAGCAAAAGTCTTCATTATGGTTAATATTTGTAGCCTATTTAGTGTTAATATCTTTTACCATTAGATTCTGAGTGATTTTACTAAACTGAAGACTGACTGTATAGTATACATTACAATAATTGCTCTAAACTTGAAAAGCTATAAAAGGAATTAAATAAATAAAATGAAGTTCTTGGTATGAGTCACACATCAGAGTAGCAGTAATGTTATTAACCAGGAAGGTTTTCTGTATCTTTAATGTAGTCTGACTTAAATACCTTTTATAGTTTTGACAGAAATTAGTTTTAAAAGTGATCATGTTTGCTTCAACTACCCTATGAGTAATTATGTGCATTATGTTGTAATGTAATTTAATTATGTAAAGTATGAAAGTTTTCTTATGTTCCCATATGTTTTATTTGTTTGCAATAACTAAATAAAAAAATTCATATCATTATAATATATTATACTTTTAATTTTTATTCAGATATTAAAATACTTGAAAACTTTTTGATGGGAAATTATTTTATATGAAATATTATTTGATGTGCCTTTCATCTTATTGCATAACATAAGATCTTCAGAAATGGTTAAAATGTCTTTAAGATATTTTCAATTGTAAGAAACTTGACCCTTTTATAATTATCATAGAACAATGCCTTGTTTGCAGGGAAAATAATGTTTTAGTTTTAATCCCCCAAAAGCTGAATCATTTAGCTTAAAATAACACGCTGAATAATGATTATTGGAGAAGTCAAACAACGTAAAGAATCAGCGCAATATCGGCAAATTTTCCAGGACTAGTTTCGATGGTTTAGCTATAGAACCATCTTCTTAGGCTGCCTAAGTGCAAATGAACGAGGTAAGGTATAGTGATAAGATGAGATAAGAATGCCTTATCCATCTGATAAGATATTACAGCAAAACAGCAAAATCAGACAATGTGTAACTTGACATAATTAAGTGTTTGTCACATGGCAATGATCTGTTTCCAATAATAGAAACTCATCTTCTTTGCCTATATACTGTTTGCTTTAGATGCTTTAATTCCATTTGCCTTGAAAAATGGCTTATATTAGTTTATGTAATGTTATTTGAAATATGCCATTGTATATAATGACATCTATAACAGGGTTTCTGAACTGGAGGGAATGTGTCAGCCTTTTATTGCCTGTTAAGTATTCCGTTTTATTTCATCCATATAAAAACTGCTTTTATTCAAGTTTTGGTACTTGAATAAATTGCTATACTGTATATATTTGCTATACTTGTTTAATTTATAGAGTTTGATTTTCTTTAGTAGTAGAAACTAGTTTCAAACTCCTAACAGACTTAAAGCGAATTAACGCTTTTTCGGAAGTTAACAACAGTCTTGAGAATGTTGAAATAAGCTTTTTATGAAATCAGAACTTTAACATAAATGTACTTCTCGTGCCAACAGGATTGACCTTCACTTGTGGCGATGTAACATAAAAGAAAAGTCAAATTAAAATTAAAACTTAACTAGTAGTCAAAGATTACAATAACAATTAAATGTTACCAGCAGTAATGCAAAGCTGAAAAACTGCAATCTTTTCAAAGCTGGCGAAACCTAGTAAGGTGGCCTTGAGAGGAAGAAACATGCTCTGTCTTCCAATCCAAAACCCTTAACTTAAATACCCTCTAATTCACATTTCTGGTGAGGAAAAGGAAAGTTATGTTAAAGGTCTAAATCATAACAGCAAGTCAATTAATAATAACCCTACAAACTGATAAAACACATTAGAAATAATTTAAATCTAAATAAATGTATGTTTTTTTTTTTTTTTTTTTTTTTTTTTTTTTTTTAAGGAAAGGCATGAGGGAGAGGGAATAATCACCTGGCAATGGTAAAAGGGGTGCATGGTAGAAAAAAAGTACTACTGATCCATAGCGAATGCAAGTATGTGGACACTCTTAAGCAGTCAAATTAGTCTGCAAGTTTCATACACATGGCATAACTTTTCCATGAATGTTTTAAACAGGAAAGGATATTAAATAACTAATACTCTGTGTTTTTTAAATTGTCATTAAATTCTAGTAGATTTTCTTCTTTAATGCATTGTTTATTATCTTGTAACCCATTTTTAAATTAAGAATCATTTAGCATCAGTATTATTTGCCAATATGACTTTGAATAGTTCCATGTGATCGTGTTCATATGTCAGAAGACTAGCAAACTACTTTCAACATGAAACTCTTCTGCATTCATTTTATGTAAATAAAATTTATTTAATGATTTATTCTCATTCACTAATTTTAGGAATGCAACTAAAAATAAATCAATCGTAGTTATTGTATGTGTTTAAGGACTTAAATTTATCAAGATCAAAAGTACTTTAACTACACTTTGTAGCTTAAAGACAAGATTTTTAATTTTCAAATACAAATGCTTAATTTTTTCCCTACAATTAGTAAACTGAACTTTTTTAGCAATTCCAACTAAGGTTTTATGGTTTAAGATTTAATATAAGAATGCTCTGCAATGTATATTTTTTTCCTAATTCTGATTGGTGATGTCATTGGTTTCCTATTGTGGTAATATAATGTGTTGCCTTGTGTATACTTTTCAGAGGAGTGTGAATAATTAGAAAGTACCTAAAAATAATATATTGTTCTAATAGTTAATTTAATTAGCATAAATATTAAGATTCTTTAAATATAAAAAATAAGAAAAACATCTAAAATTCATGAACTTAAATGATAATTGCAGAAAAATTTAATGTTCGTGAAATTTCAAAAAATTCTCCAACATTTACAAAATTCTTCATGAAAATTCATATTGTGATTAAATTACTACCATTGCATTTAATAAATGTATAAAAATTAATAGCTGTAAAAAGAAGGGAAAATGTGTGCCTAATATTTTACATGTCATAATAGAAGAGAAGTATTATTTAGCTATTTTTGGTTGTGTATTAGTGATATGTGATATTCTTGTTCCAAAATTGCCGTATTCATTTTTGCTATGATTTACAGAGCCTCACATTTTCATTTATCTTTTTGGCATTTTTTGTATTAACTGGGCTTATTTATGGTCAAATATGTTGAAATGAGCAGTCTGTGTTTTAGATCTAAAATGTAATTTATTTAGCTATTTTTGGTTGTGTATTAGTGATATGTGATATTCTTGTTCCAAAATTGCCGTATTCATTTTTGCTATGATTTACAGAGCCTCACATTTTCATTTATCTTTTTGGCATTTTTTGTATTAACTGGGCTTATTTATGGTCAAATATGTTGAAATGGAGCAGTCTGTGTTTTAGATCTAAAATGTAATTATTATTTAAATATAAGGAAATAAAATGAAAGAAAAAAAATGGAGTAAATCAAGATGTTTTTACTTTAAACAAATATGATAAGAATCTTTTCTTAAATTATTGCTAAAAAAAATTCTGTTTTAAAACTAAAAGTGATTAAGTCTATTTTAAGAAAGCAAGTAGTGTCATTATAAAATTGTCTGTTTGATATGCATCAAAATAATAAACACCTATAAAAGGAAAGTGGAATTATCATTAGTGTTTTGGCCAAAACTCTATAACATATCGGAAATGACAGCCTTTAAAATTAACAAAAGATTTTGGTAATTAAAAAAAAAAAAACATGTTCTTATCCTGTTATGATTTTTGTGGGTACAAATTTTCAGACTCTAAATGCGTAAAAATGTCATTTTAATAATAAGAATAAAAATCCCTAATGAAATTTTTTCTTTATGAATGCACTTTTTCAAAAAGTAATGAAAAAATAAAATTAGTCATCAAAAAAGTGTTTATCAAAACATAATTTAAAATTAACAATAATATTTACACATTATTTTAATAATCTAAAATTTTAATATTCTGCTTAGGTTGGTGTACCATCCATTGAAAAATTCAATACTTGGGGTGGCTCTTTATCAATTGGTCATCCTTTCGGTGCTACTGGAGTTAGACTTGTGACAACAGCAGCAAATCGTTTAATAAAAGAAGGTGGTCAGTATGCACTTGTAGCTGCTTGTGCTGCAGGAGGATTAGTAAGTTATTTTGAAATCAAAGCATAATATAAAAAATTTGCATTTGATAATTTAGAAACCTGTTTTGTGCAACATCTGTAAATAAGTTAGGTTGATGTCATTGTAATGTATGCCATCCTTTGCTTAAAAAAGACAGTTTTAAAATTTAAGATTATGGAACTTAAAGCAAAAAATTTATGAATTGTGATCATTATTGATATCTCTGCTTCTCTCTCTTTTTAAGCCAATTTATTTTAACAAATCCTCTAACATATGAAGTTATTTTGATGAAACTTTTCACACATAAAAAAAAAAATTGGATTAATATGTTATTCAAATTTCAGTGCATCTTGCTTTTTTCTTCCATTTAGTTTTATCATGATTGTTATCCATAACATCATCAGTTAAATTTAAATGTGTGCATTTTTACTTCGTTGTAAAGGAAGTATTGTAATCGTGAAAAATTTTGGGTTTCAGCTTTCAACAGAAATATCATTTGAGGGGGGCATGGCATCTGTACCCTTCCCTCTTATCTGGTTTTTATTTTCGCAATTGTTGGTCGTAGGGATATACTTCCAGTTACAGAAGTGTTTTAAATGACAAAAATATTTATGTTTTAGCAATTTCAAATTATTGTTAAAAATCAATTTTGCACAAATAGCAAAATTGTTTAGTGCAGTCTCCTGGTTGCTGTATTTATATTTGGGTGGTTGCTGTATTTATATTTGGGAAAGTTTTATACTTATCATAAAGAAATCAAAATGCAAGAAGTTTGACTCTCATGTGACAAAAATTGACCGGGATATTTAATTTCAAAATTTGCAGTTTTTATGTCATTTTCAGCTTGCCTTGAGGGAACAGTTGATTAAGTTAGACTACTTCAAAGAAATATGTTTAAATGAAATGCAGCGAAAAATGTGTATAATTTAATAGGCATGCAAAAAAATCTTGTGGTTTTGTCATCAGATTTTTTTAAATTTTAGTTTGAATTTAATGTTCATTATATGCTGACCATATTAAATTGTTATCAGCTGCTGTTTGAAGAAAAGCCATTTTTAATCAAATTCTGGTAATTCTATACTTTTTTATCTAGTAATATTATTGAATGTAAAAATATCTTGTATTTTAACACTATGAAATCTTTTTATTGATATTAAGTTATCTTTAGTCATTTATTTGTGTCATTTTTTCGACTATTTTTACTTCCTTGCACAAAGTAAAAAGGAAGTATTTTAATCAAAAAAATTTCGAGTATCATATTTCAACGAAAATATCCATTTTGACCTATATCGAATGCAATTTAACAATGTTTTTGCTTGATATCTGTATGTAAGGGCAGAATAAAGAACTCTTTTCCTCCCAAAAAATTATAAAACTGATTTAAAATGAATTCTGGAGAGAATTTTTTGTGGCGTCTGCGTACGTCCATATGTACGTATCTCACAAGTAACTCAAAAGTGAGTAGCCTCAGGATGTCGAAATTTTATATATATGGGACTGCTATAACATGTAGAATGCACATCCTATTTTGGTTGCAGTCAGCCGCGCCAAAATATATATATATATATATATATGTACACTGCTCGACATTGAAAATGCAACACCGAAAAGGACTGGTCAGAAAGTGATGAAATTTGGAAAAAAGACAGAGACAGCAAGCAGCAATAAGTGATCTTTATTTCAAAATGATAGTCAGAATACAGAGCGAGAACAGCATCGGCTCAGTAGGATGTAGGACCACCGTGAATAGCGATGCACGAAGAAACATGTCTAGGCATAGAGTCAATAAGAGTGTGGATGATGTCCTGAGGGATGACTCTCCATTCCCTTTCAACCACTTGCCACAGTTCGTCTTCTGAATGAGGCAGAATCTGCAAACGGCGTCCAATCACATCTCGCACATGTTCGATTGGTGACAGGTCAGGAGAGTACGATGGCCAGGGAAGCATCTGTATACCTTGCAGGCCATGTTGGCAGATGCGAGCACTGGGTGGGTGGGCGTTATCCTGCTGAAAAATTGCATTAGACAGCCCCTGTAGGTAGTGGATTGCCACCGGCTGCAGTACATTATTCAAATATCGTTGGGCCGTCATAGTGCCCTGAATACGAACTAGAGGTGACCTGGAATCGTAGGCAATAGTGCCCCAAACCATTATGCCACGTTGTTGCCCGGTGGGGTGTCCACAGTTACTGCCGGATTAGATCTGTCTCCACGTCGATGCCACACACGTATGCGGCGACTGTCGCTGGATAAACAGAAGCGTTACTCGTCTGAGAACACGATGTTTCGCCATCCACATCGCTCCAGTCCGGCACCATTCTTAACATTGGCGTCTATGCTGTGAGGTCAATGGCAGTCTTCTTAACGGACAGCGTGAGTGCAGGCCACGTTCAACCAATCGACGGGAAATGGTTCTGGCCGACACGGGAACATCCAGGGTATCTTGCACCTGTTGCAGAATCATGGTACAAGTGACTTGTGGGACCGCCACAGCTTGTCGACGGATGCGTCGATCCATGCGTGCTGACGTCACTCTGGCTGCACCTGCACCCCTCCTTCTTCCCACATTTCCTTGTTCCAACCATGTTCGCCATAGCCGATTCACCGTGCTCACATCCATGTGGGTATCAGCTGCGATTTGACGTAAGGACCAACCTGCCCTTCTCAGTCCGATCACCATACTCCTCGTAAAATCGTCTGTCTGCTGGAAGTGCCTTCGTTGATGGCGGCCTGGCATTCTCTCCTATTACACATATCCTCCGGGACAAAAATCAACTTTCTTTGATAATTCGTCTGGCAGAAATAACGACACGAATATTGCCCATTCTGCACTTTCTTCCTTTATATCTTAATTCATGTGTGTCGGAGAGCTGCGCATTTCACATCATTCGCATAACTCGGTGACGTGCATCAAAATTTGCATAAATTTCTGACCACTCCTTCTTGGTGTTGCATTTTCAATGTTGAGCAGTGTATATATATCCACTCTTTTACTCGACTCGGTGATCTGTTTCTTTATTCTTATATGTTTGTAAATTGTGCATTTTTTGCTTTAAAAATGATTGAATTATTTTGTTCTTATGCCTTTAGTAAATCGGCATGCAATATTTGTAGAATTATCAAATTTAAAAGTTGTTTAAGTGCGGCTGTGCCTAATTATTTTTACCATAGCGGCCACATTTGTTGACATTTGAAACTTCGCAGAAAACTGGATTTGTTGCCAACCTAGAGAAACTAAGTTTTGCAACAACAAAGATAACACCTTCTTTTAGTATAGTGAATTAAATCATGCTTAATCCATTCTGGAATTTATTTGAGAAAATAGTATTTAAGATTTACTTCGTAATTTTTAATATATATATTTTGAGGGTTTTTTTTTTTTTTTTTTTTTTTTTTTTTTTTGTATTTTTGCCTTGTCACAAAGTGAGAACTGAATTAACTGAATTATAAATACTGATTCATCTGTGAAAAACTGTTTTTTGTTTGTTTAATTTCTTTTATACATTGTTTTAGATTTATTATATTGTTTGAATAGAACATGTGGCAACGATTAGATAATTCTTCAGATGATATAAATTTTGTGCATTATGAGTTATAAAATGAATGAGAGATGTAAAGCTGTTAAGTTAACCTAACACCAGAGTGACACTCTGGTGTTAGGTTAAATCAGCAAAATATATATAGTGAATTTTAAAGTTTAGCAAATATAGTGGATTTTAAAGAGTGCATTTATTCTATTGTGGTTTATGTGCTATCGGCGAAGTAGATTTAATTCAATCCAATAAGTTAAAATGAAATGCAAGAAAAAATGTGTATAATTATAATATTCTGTACAAGGAAGTCATTTGGTGTACACATTAGATTTTTTATTTATTGCGAAGGACTCAAAATCGGACAGGATCCCCACACACAAGTTTAAATCCTGTAGACTGGTTAGTTTTGTAATTCTGAGTAATGTCTGAATGATTTTATGTGATTTTTCTCTTTCACATTGTTCTTTGTCCCTTTTGGCATTTAAGGTAATGCTAACTTATTATGATGAAAGACATTTATTAAGACTTCAAAATCTAGATTGAGTTTTTGTTATAAGTCACATTAGGAAAAATAAAATTGCTTGGTTTGCTATGGAGCAGTAAAATTTTTAAACTTGTGTCATTACTTAAAAGTAAGAATATCAAAAATGTAAACAGTTTTTCATTTTTCAAGGATGTGTTAAAACTGTGTTATGTGTTCTAAGTGCATTTTAGTGCAAAAGCAAATACTGTTTATTGAATCTGGGTGCTTCACTAATTCTAACCTAATTAATTTTATTAAAATGTCTTCTTTTTTAACTGTAATCCTTCCATACCAGTGTTACTTAATATCCAGCCTTCCACCCTTTTTCCCCCTACTTCAGTTAAGATGACTACAGTTTCTTATTATTTATGTATTATTATTATTATTATTTAATTTTAAATTAGCTAAATTTTCTCTAAGGTTTCCTTTTTGAAACAAAATTTGTTTCACATGGCCATGCTTGATTGGTAAATATTATGTTCTGTTTCTTACTTTTGATTCGAAATATTTTAAATTTCTGAATGGTTATCAAAATATTTGATGATGTTTTATATAAACATTTTCAGCTGTAATTAGTGGCACCTCAGTAATTTAACTTTTTTTTTTTTTTTTTTTTTTCCAGTAGTGTGTTCAAAGATTCTAACATGCTTTGATGTAATATGTTGTACTGTATATTCAGAGCGTAAATTTAGCAGGATCCCTGACTCCTACACTTCTTAGTTTTTGAGAATTATAATTTCATGAAAATATAATTCTATCTGGACCCCCAAATAAGATGAGGTCCGATATTTTATTATTTATTATTTTTTGTTTTTCTGTTCACTTTTTATGCTTTCTGTAGGGCTTCAGAACTGCAGAAGTACTTAATTTTTACTTGATTTTATAAATCAAACTCCTGCACGTAGCGCACTTGCCCTTGTCTCATTGGCATCGAAATTTAAATTATTTGCATATCTCTTACCAGACTACATTCCTGCTGAATTTGGTGATTGTGTCTCGATTTCTTCTGGGTACATTTTGTGACAGAGTGTATATGTGTTTTCAGCTAAATGTGTTGTTGACTAAATGTCTTATTTGCAAAATATCTATGTGAGCTAAATGCCCTGTCAGCTAGATGTCCATGTTGGCTAAGTGTCCTGTCATCTATATGTCTATGTCAACTAAATGTCAGTTAGCTGTCCTTTCAGCTAAGTGTCCATGTTGCCTAAATGTCTAGGTAGCTAAGTGGTTGTCAGATAAGTGTGCACGACCAAATATATATAGTATTTCCTGTAAAGGACAATTCTGTCAGTCCTGTTCCTTTGAATTAGGCAAATATTTATTTCTTAATAAAGGACAAGACATCTGGTCCGATAAGTGTCCCTTATTGAAAGGTGTATATGGTTTTGTAGAGTTTCCAATAATATTAAAAGAGAAAATTATTGTTCTTTGGTATAAATAAATTAGAACTGTAATATAGAAATCATAGCTTAATTTTTGTCTCTGTCTAAAAAAAAAAAATCTGAAAGGTTTCAGATTTTAAATTACGTCCAAAGGGGCGGGTTTTTTTTTTTTTTTTTTTACATTTTGTCTGTTACCTTTATTTATTAAATCTATCGTTCTTCGCACTTAAACCATAAAATTCGATTCAAGAGCAATATCGCAAAATAATTTTAAAGTGAGCATATCGTTAGAATTTCTGATACACAGTCTCATGTGCTGGAGATAAAAATGTTTTTTTCTGTACAATGTTGCCATTGCTCGCTTTGAAATCCTTGAGTTTGGTTATTCAAAAATTCGTTAAAGTTTTACAAAATATGAAATCGATAATAAAACAAATTTCAAATTTAGGCTTCCAGATGCCCATATTCGCAATAGGATTACATCATTCAAAATAGGATTACATGATGGCTCTAGGTACTCTTGTTTTATCACAATGTGAGAAATATACATACATTTATGCAGATTTTTCATTGTTTAATATCTTCAAATATAATACAGGATTCTAACATTTGATGGCAACAGTTTGAAAAGTGAAACGGACATTTATAGTGAACCATTGCAAAACGAAAACAATAGTCCTTCAGGGATAAAGCCCCTTTGGACTAAAAAAGAGAGAGAGAAAGAGGTTTATGTGAAACAAGCATGTTCGAAGTGATTTTTTGCAGATTCATGGTTTTTATTGTGATACCAACAATACTATTGCTAGTATGCTACTGATATTATATTGTTTTTGTCTTCTTTTTTCAGGGTCATGGAATGATAGTGGAACGTTACCCTAAGTAATTGATGCCCTGAATCTGTAAATATATATGTATAAATGTTATAAAAAATCAAAAAGCTTTTACAGGAAAGCTTCTCAGTTGTGTAATCTAAGGAAATTATGAGTTACGAAACAAATGATATTTTATATCAGTTATGTTTGTTTGATTTTTGATACAATAAAGCATAAAAATATGTAGTAAAAATTTTCCACTACATGAAAACTGTAATTTTGTACAAACATGACAAATGTATTACAATCATCATTTCATGCTGAAAAAATGTGCCTTTGTGTATTTAATATATAATAAAATGATTTTTATATTCATTGTGTGATGTTTTAATGTGAAAACAAAGAATTTTGTTAGTGTACACAAAATGCTGCCAATTCAGCCTTTGATTTCAGAAATTTTGAGGCATAGTTATACTTCATATGTAAAATCATTAATTTGAATACAGTTACATCCAACATAATAAAATGCAATTCATTCATCAAATGTGATCTAATTTTACTAAAGAGGAGAGTAAATTTTCAGGTACTTTAAACATTTGAAAATATAACATATGAAATTGAAATTTGACATTGTTTTTACTTAGCATGTTATTTTATAAATTTATAATAGGTGGCCTTAGTTACTACAGTTTTCCTAAATGTAACAGATGAATATAATAACAGATGAATAACAGATATAATAAAATAACAGATGAATATAAAAATCAATTTCTATGCTAAAAACTTTAACATTTGTGCAATCTGCTGCAAAGTTCTTAACTAGTGGATGATATTTTATACTAAATTTCACTCTGATAGAGATTAGTGACTGTGTTTTGTACCAGTCACCCCCAACCAGGGCTGTGGAGTCGATGGGGAAAATGATCGACTCCAACTCCCTCGTATAAAACATTATATGCATGGGTTACAGCTTATTTTTTTAATATAAAAGAAGTAATAGATGCTACAGACAAAAAAATTGGTGGCATAGCAAATTATTTATATTAATAAGCATTTATTATGAAATGGAAAATCTGGCATTAGTTATTTTTAAGAAACAGTATAGCTTCGGCAAGATTTTCTTTGTTGGAGGGCCATAGATCCGATTTGATAAACTTCAAAGATGAGAAGAGTCTTTCCATACAAGTTCTTTTGTTCTCTATCTTGAGTAGGAGGAAGAGCTACTGTTAAGGGTACTTCTTTTAACTTTTCAGGATAGATTTTTTATAAGTTCTAAAAGAGGTGTCTTGAAAGCGCAATCATATTTCTCTATTTCTTTAAAGACTCTAGAAATCTTGTTTGTATTTTTTCATTTTTATATCTAAAGGCTCTTGTTTTTTATTTTCATTCACTTTGCCTTAGCCTTTTCAATATTATCCAAAAATATTTCTCAAAATCTAATTCATCAATGGAAAAGGATGATAGGGACTCAATTGCAATGTCTGCAGTTTGACTGTCCTAAATCGAATTCTTCAGTTGCTCTGAGAATAATTTCATTCTTAATCAAAGTTCATAGATGACTTTCTTTTTCTTTTTAATTTTGTCATCCAAGAAAATTTGGTGTTTCGGATCTCCATATATTGAACCCAGCAAGATCTCATTGTCTAGCATACTAGTTTTTCTTTTCTTCATTGAAGAAATGATTCCTTCTGCAGTAAACCCTCCATTTCAAAAAGAACATCCCATTCTCACCTCCTGTCAATTCTTCAGATTGCTGCTTTTTTGTGGCTATATACAGTATAGAAAGAAGAGTTTCCAATTCTGCAAGATCTTCCACAGTCTTTCTGTTAGTGAAACATTGGGGTTATCTACATCTCCTAAAAAAGTTCTTAATTCTAAACATGTCTTTATCATCAAATATGTATTTCCTTATCGCATTGCTTGATCAATAATTGCTCCTTTTTTCCTGCTTGCTTCCTAAGAATGGCATCAATTTTAGGAGTTCTTGCTGCTATTGCTGCTTACTTAAATTTATCAGTGAGATTTGTAACTAAATGAATCAGTTTAATCACTAATGGCAAATATCACATCCATCCTCCTCCCTTATATTTATTTATTAATAGGTCAATAAAATGGAAAATAACTATTTATTAATGTGTACAATCCATAAATGAAAATTATGACTCATTTGTCATTAATTTTTTTCAATTCATTTTAATTTCATTTCAAATTCAAACTGTCCAACGAAAACTGGAGTCTAAGTCGACCTGTTTTTAGCGACTCCAGCTCCGACTCCTTTTACCCCAAAATCTGCCTGACTCCACAGGCCTGCCCCCAACTACAAATCCATAATATGACATATATTTAAAATAAGTAAGTAATGATATATGATAATGTGTAAGATGAAAAAATTTCACAGAATTTTTTTCCTTTCTGCTGTTTGGTTTTGTTAGTTTGAAGAGCTTATTTTAAATACAAGTTCTTTTGTTCTCTATCTTGTCTGGAAAGAGTACCTACTGATAAGCTACACCTCCACTGGTGTCAGTATTCAGCTACAACAGATTGAAAACTGTGTATGTTTATCTTTCATGTTAAGCAGTATGTGAAACTGCAACACTTCATAAATCTACAGTCTTATAAATAAATGATGTTTTGTCATTGTTAAAGTAAGTCTTTTTACTTAACACATGTAATGATTACATGTAAATGGTTCCCAATTCTTTGAACTGTTGTAATCTTAGCTAAACTAATAAGCCCCTCGTAACCTCAGCTTAAAATGGCTTTAGCTGTTAATTTGAAATTTGTATACCAAGAGCAGTAGGCAACTTCTCATTAATTTTATTTATTGAAATTAAGTCCGCCGCTCTTCAAGTGGACTTAATTTTACAAACTCTTCAAATTGTAAAATTCTAATCTAAAGTTTTCAGATTGCAACATATTTATTTTAAGACATCTTGGAAAGCCTAAATACACTCATGTCCATAAATTAAGGATAATTCGAAGTCACACGGAAAACGAACTCTAAAATAAATATATCACCTGTACAATCACTACACACATCTTCAAGAATCATATGCAAATTTCAGGAAGTAATCGGAGGACACCGATGGTACATCACAATGACGAGAGTGTAAGAGAGTTATATATAAGGAATACAGGTAAAGAAGTAAAATTGTTCGCAGGCGCTTTATAAGCATTTCAGTGCAATAACCAAATAGTTATGACACAAAGGACGCATTTGGATGATTTTTTACGTGGTAGAATTATCGGCCGTCTGGAATGGGGGCGTACCCCACTGGAAGTATCAGACGAACTTGGAATTGCCCAGAGTGTCATCTCCAGGCTTTGGCAACGATTCCGAGATGATGGTAATGTGAGTAGACGTTACAGCACAGGTCGCCCCAGAGTTACGACGCCGAATGAGGACTGGTATTTGGCAGTTACTGCCAAAAGAAACAGCCGGAGCACAGCCTCAGGCCTGTCTCATCAGCTCTCTTCAGCCACTGGTACAACAATTTCAAGGCAGACCGTGTACAGACGCTTAGGGCAGATTGGTCTATATGCTCGTAGACCTGTCAGATGCGTTTACTTACTGCAACTCACTGTCGCCTGCGGTTAGCATGGAGTAGAGAGCATGCATTGTGGACACCACAACAGTGAACAGTGAGCTTGTGTGATGTTTTCCGAAGAGTCCAGGTTTAGCTTGCAGTCTGATTCTTGTCGGACTTTCATATGGAGAGCTCCAGTTACCCATTACCACCAAGAAAACATCATTGAACGACACCGTTACGGTGGTGCAGGAGTGCTTGTTTGGGGTGGAATTATTCTGGGTTCCAGAACTGACCTGGACGTTCAAATTGGAACCATAACAAGCCAAATCTATCAGTATGTCATTCTGGAACAACATGTAGGTTTGTTTCGGGGCGCCATGAGCGCACAATTTGTGTTTATGGATGACAACGCCCGTCCTCACCATGCAAACATCGTAAGCGAATGCCTTCAATCGGAGGATATCACCCGTATGGACTGGCCAGCATTCTCACCGGACTTGAATCCAGTAGAGCACGTGTGGGACATGCTTGGCTGACGAGTTGCAGTCTTTCAATCTCCTCCTACATGTCTACCGGAACTTCAGAGAGCATTGCTTTTTGAGTGGTCTAATATTCCCCAAGATCAGATCGATAATTTTATACTCAGCATTCCTAGGCGTTGTACGGACTGTATTGCATTGTCTGGGAGACATACAATGTATTAACAATCATACCAACCATGTAATATTGGTTTTTTGTAAATAGGTTTCTTTTGTAATTTGCTCCAGGGAGGGAAAATCGCTAATTTTTTTAATAATATCAAACATATAGCAACTTTTTTTGGTCTTTACCTTTTGTTTAATAAATAAGCTTTACAAATAAGTCAAATTTGTCTTGCTTCTAACTGTTCCTTTGCCTGATTTTGCATTATCCTTAATTTATGGACATGAGTGTAAATAATTCTAGATAAAATACTGTTTCCAAATAAAGGAATGAATTTCAAATAATTCTATAAGATTTCCTTGAATTTAATTTCATATGTGTTTATTTTATGGTAAAAAGCAAACTAGGGGCCTGGACCATAAAGGAAAATATTCTCTAAAATTAGATACACGAGGAAAAAGAAAAGTAAAATCATTGAATATGGATCACGAAATGAGCGTAAAGTAATGAGACTCTGGATTTAGTAAATCTTGATGTAATAATTAAGGCTGAGAATATTAAAAAAGATGAAATGCTAGTTTGGAAGAAATAAATTTATTGTATGATGTAAAAAATAAATAAAAATAGGAATATAATTGGATTAATGAATAAAGAGATTTGAGAAATAAATGACTTATTATAAAATATCAATAATCAGATTTGTAGCTTAAATTCCTTACATACTGTTTAGTTTACAGTTCTCAGATTTTTTTAAACAGCTTGGCAGGAATGATGAAGTTTACTACATCAGATATATTACTTTCTTCAATATTGTAAGTAAGTAAATAGATTAAAATTTTTAATGTTCTTAATGCTATAAAAAGAGAGATTTATATTCAGTACCATTTATTCAACATGGATAACTGCAAGATAAGAACTTGTATTGTTAGCACGGCTTTAAGTAAAATAAATTTATCTCTGTGTTGAACACTGTTATGTGAATATAATTATATAAAAAGTGAGAGTATAATGCTTGACAATCAGTGTTCTCTCAGTACTAAAAACATTTCAGTCATCATGTCCTAAATTGTTTATTTCTTTTCGTGAAGGGACATAACTCAAAGAGATTTAATAAAAGATCTGTCACTAATCATCCTTTTGAATATAAAATATTGTAAATTCATTTGTAGTTTTTTACTAGTCATTCAATCAAATCACCATGTA